ACTTAATGTTGGCTTATTTACTACTTTAGTTTTCACGTTTGTTTTTTACTAAATCCGCAAATTAAACTAATTAAATGTTCACCAATTAAATACAAAACAGAAAGGTAAAACCTAAAATAATAATTAAACCAGAAGCCAACATTAAATAATAATTTTTAAAAAGTTATATACTAATGAAAAAAATGATAATGGTACAATGTATAAAACAGAATGTTTAGACTGCGTAAGTTTGACTATAAGAAACAAGTAGAAAATTAGCTCTGACCACGAGTACCTTTTTGTGATCTCCACAAGTCTTGCCAGAAGAATATTTCTGCCTATAGAGAAAGAAAGAAAGAACAAAAAGCTCGGAAGAGATAAATTAGCGGCTAGCAGCAACTTGATTCGGTGGATGAAAAATGTTGCTCATTCTACTTTATTACTGCAACCATTTCCAACTCTTCCTATTTAAATTATCATACCAATACATGAAAATGAAAATATTCCAGGTAAATTCTTAAACTTCACTGGAGCTACGAAATTATGCATTTTAAAAGAAAAAGTTCTTGATACATTCCTAGTTGATTAAACCATATTTTACAGGTCCAAATGCAAAAGCCTATGTGGAGTTAAAGAACAAACAAACTTCTCTAGAATTATAGTGAGATTTATGAGCAGTTTCAGTGCAATGCTTGTATGCTATCTTGTATAAGTGGCTTTTATCTTAATACTTTGAACTTTTGACTTTAATAGAATTTTCGAAGAACATATCCTTGACCTGTGATATTATCATAGAGTAGGCCCACAATACCTTATTCCATACTATTAATCATTTGCCTATACTTTTCCCATTTTAAAATTTATTTGTCTGCCAGTGGACTTCTGAATCACTGTTTTAAACCACCCTGTATATTCTCATATACGATAATAACGATCACGCTGAATGAGTCATACACGATTGCATATTGACGTCAAGTGTAGAAGTTGAGAGAATAAGCACATACACTGCACTGAAAGTTACTGTAATCGTATTCGATTTCTTTTCTTTTAAATGGGGTACATAAAGTTAAAAACATTGTCACATCATACTGAAGTTACTAAAATCTGCTCAATGTTCGATAGTGATAAAAATATATAAAAGTTCATAATGAACACCTGCGTGTCACGCGGTTTCTAAACTCAAATATTAGGCTTAGTAATCTGTACCATAAAAATAATGAACACAAGCCCAGTGCTAAATGTTGCCTCATACATTTGAGTTATGGAGTACAAATGTACATACACAAAGATGCTCAATAACCTCACACACACACCATTTTTTATAACAGTATCATCAACTTAGCAAGGCTGACAAAGAGTTATGTTGTTAAAGCTGCTATTCTGAACTACTTAAGACATGGAATTTGTTGATCAACAGAGAAAACGTTTAAATATTTCAAGAATTGATTTTCGTTTTGTATGAGTACTAGATTGATAATGTAAAGAATTAAATAAAAAATCATCAGCTTTCAAATTTTAACTACACAGTTTATTTTCAATTAAAGTGATATTTCCTTTATTTAATTCCTTAAGTAACTTGCCAGGTGAAGCACCAACTGTTGAATCTGAAGTTATTAGATGAAATGGTAAAGCAGAAAAAAAATGACAGAGTTGCACAATTTCAACTACTGAACAGAGAGAAACAGATTATATTCATTGCAAAATTTCCAAATTGTTAGCTACATCAATTAAGACCATAAAAGTAGAAACAAGAAGGTGAAACAAAGTGCCAAGTAAGTTTACATTTTAAGTGTTTACTGTTATTACTAGTTACCAAAAATTATTTGGAAAAGAATGGAATTTTGTTCTAAAATTTATGGAGTATAAATTAACAATTAATTCTCAATAGGTAATACTGATATGATATTGTTTTAAAATGTTAGTGTGTACAATCAGGCAACAAGTGGAAGGAAAATGTAATTTAGATAATGGCTGAGGATATCCCCAAGATATGGTAAATTAGTTTTATTTAAAGCATTTATGGAATCTGTTGGACTGTTCACAGCAACTTGCATCAATCTAACAATTATGTACAAGAATCTATTATAAAAATATCACTTAACCATTCTAAAATTCTGAGATTCAAGAAAATGTTTAGATCCAGAAGAATCGGAAACTTAGAATTTGTTTGAAGAGAATACAAATGTTATAGAAAAAGGTGGGCCTGAATGTTACTTTTAAAAGGTGAAAGCCATAATCAAAGTAACTGATTGTGATGACTTGAGCTGATCATGTACCAGGATTTATTTACATTAATATTTAGTCATACTTGTTAAGTATAAGGCTAAGGGTTTACAGAAATTGATACAAGGCTAAGTCAGACTTATGAGCATTTCTTGGCTCAGAACATAACGTATGGATATAGACAATTTGATCATTCAAGAGAATCCTTGCACACTCATCCCCTTCTTGTCCTCTTCAGAATATACACAAAGAAATCAGAGGCCTTTATTCCATCAGTTCCCTAGATAATCTTGTAAACTTTAAAATTCATATCTTGCCCTCCTTTTCTCAAGAGAAAAAGAATGAAGAGATTTTTTTAACCTATCACTACAAGATGTCCCATCTCCAACACTATCCAAATAGTCCTCCTCTGAACCTTAACCCATTAACTGCTGCAGGAACAGCTCAGTTGCTGTTTTCTGACTCACAGATAAAACTGAGTTGCCATCAATCACAATAAATCAGTAATTATAGTCATTTTCTTTGAGTTATAGTTATATATGTGCAACTGACAAATATTTGCATAATTCACAACTGAGCCATAGAACTTCAATGATGGAAATATCAGTCATCAGCAGTTAATGGGTTAACTAATTCAATATGATATTTCATGTGAGGCCTAACTAGCATTTTGTACAGAGATAATTACCTCACTAGACATGTAATCAGTATGCCTTTTAAGAATAACCTAAAATTCTACTAGCTTTAGTATTAACAAAGCACAACTTTGAAGCCTTGAAGTGACTTACCACCACTATGCTAAGGTCTTTTCTTTAGTCATTCTATTAAGTAAGTTTTCAAATTAAGATAGTCCAAATACATTGTATTGCATGCACTAATAATTCAAGGTCATTTGCCAAATAATTGTCCAACATATGAAAGAAATACCCAAGAGTTTAATTTCATAAGCAGACATCACTTATTTACTAGTTATGTCTATCAACATCATTACTGTAATTTGTAATAAGAAAAAGCAAAGATCCAAGCACTGACTTCTGAGGGCACTACTAGTAACAAGGGTCTAGTTTGACTGAACTAACATCATTCTGCTTTCTCCCATCCAATCACTCTACATTCCAATTATTAACTAGTCTTTTCTCAGTCCATACCAATGTGATTTTGTGTGGACCCTAAGCAAGTAATATCCTCACAAAAGATAAATTAGTACAACAGGATTTATCTTTGGTGAATCCATGTTAACTTTCATTTATGATAGCATATTTCACTAAAAGATTTTGCTAGGTTCTTTTATCACACTCTAGAATTTTTCCAATTACATATGTAAGGTTAACTAGCTCATAATTTTCTGCAAATCTCTTGATCACCTTTAAAAAAAAGTACATCGGCAATTCGTCAATCTTCAAGCACCTGTCCAATTTTTTTTGTTAAGTGTAAAAGAAGAGTCAAGAAGATTTTAAATAGAATCTGAATATTGAAAAAGGAAAGAAGTTTAAAGTGTTAAACAATTATTTTTTTAGTGTTTTTACTAATGAAAATAAGGAAGAAGTTCTCGGATTAATCAATTGAAATTAATTACGATTAAATAGCTTGAAAAACTTACATTAAAACATTTCAGAAATTCAGTAAAGAGATAACAAGTTTTACATTATTTTTCACAAGTCCTTTGACACCAGAAAATTCCTGTTAATTTGAATATTTTCAACATTATCTCTGCTTTAAAGGAATATAAAATCTACTGGAGGATTGTGTATATGATGGACCCTTTAGTATGAATTCTGTTATCATAGTTTAAAGTAATATATTATTTAAACACAAGATTTTTTAATGGAATGCTGTGTGAAATATGTAATAACTGTAACAAAAGAAATAATTTATAATTTTTGTGGAGTCACAATCTCAGCATAGTTAAGAATAGTGAAATAATTATTTTAGTGTGTTATGAATTTTAAAATATTCAACGTTATTACTAAACAGAATAAACAAAATCTAGTGTACAAACATCCTGAGAAGCCATGGCACAAATTCACAATTTGTAGGGTCAGCAAAACTGTGGAAAAGTAAACTAAAAACAATTCGTCAGATGGAATCTGGCTTGCCATTTGGCTACGTTTCCGTGTACGATATTTAATAATGCTTTTATGGAATTTAAAATTTTTACTATTTACAAGAGTTTTAGGAGATTTGATTTGCTTAAATAGGTTATTTTATCCTTCTATTTCTAACACAAGGTAAGCTTATACTATAGCAAGAATCAAACTTAGTGTTTAGTTTTACATTCACCATTAAATTAGTCGCCTACCAAAAATATATGAAATTCAAAGCAGGCTCTATACGAGTATGAATGACAAAGTAATTTATGTTATAAGTGATTAAAAGTTCATCATTAAATTATTCCAAAATTCAATATTAACTATGTCCAAATTAGTTTACACAAATTACAGGTCTGTGACGGCCTACCTGCCTAGTAGTACTCTAGTAGTAGTAACACTAACATAGAACTTAGACGAATACGCTTAGTTTTTCTATAAACGTGCTAGTAATAGTTAAAATAGTTAGTAATACTAAGTTAATGTAACTGTGGTTACAGTGCTGCCGAATAAGTCGTCACCACCACCAGTATTACAGTTAAGTAAATCAAGAACCCCATCTAACTCCAACAGTCTAAGACAAGTAACTAGAACTAAAAGTTAGAGAGTACTTACTTAGTTACTACGGTACTAGTTAATAGTAATACCGGTTTCGATTGTGTTATATTAACATGCACTGATGCAATTTACTCTGAAAGTACAATTTCTTACTTTGATGAAGACTTGTCCTCGTTGCCGAATCCGACCGAAAAATTAGTTGATGTCATTTTCAAGTATATATAAGTATTAATTCAGAGTGAAAGCGTTAAATGTTATTATTAATAGGTTAGTTGCTGCTGTTACATTAGCCGACAAAGAAAAGGTGTGGTATACTTCTAATGTTATACAGCTGATACCGTGACTGCCACCAACTGGTCTGTGAAATACAGGCGTATTTATATTCTATGACTAATTATATAATTTTTTTAACCGCTAGGGTTTTCACGTCGCTTTTCCTTCACATTCTATATCAACAAACCAATGTATAATAAAATAAAATTAACTCAATCCTTAAGTATTAAAACACAAGCTAATTGGGAAAATTTGACAGAACTAAAATAAATGATAAGTCCTCGTATTGAACGAAAGGCTTCGTAGGCAGTCGATATAGCAGATGTAGTATGTTTTGATATCTAACCTATATAAAAGTCAGTATGCGTCACGTCACGCTTGATTTCTCGAAATATGTTTGTTTGTTTGTAATTAAGCACAAAGCTACACAATGGGTTATCTGTGCTCTGCCCACCACGGGTATCGAAACCCGGATTCTAGCGTTGTAAGTCTGCAGACATACCGCTGTGCCACTGGGGGGCCTCGAAATACGATGGGTTATAAAAGCCAAAATGCATTTATCCAGATAGAATAGTTCAATTACTGTCTGCCCATTACGATGGGGGTAAAAGGGGTCGTAAAGGTGTGTGTGTGACATGAAACCTTATATGTATAGTGAGTGTTGGTATAATAACCCTAAAGTAAAGACGTGGTGTGAGATCACCGA